AGGCTTGGCTGTGTGTTCCCCAGTAAGTACTGCTTAACTACCCATTAGCTCCTGATTTGTTCCCCTTTGGTTTCCTTGGTAACTACCCATTAGTTCTTCATTAGTTCCTCTTTATTTACAAGGTAACTAACCAGTAGTCCTTTAATAAGGCTTGTTTGTGTGTTCCCCATTAAGTACTGGTTAACTACCCATTAACTCCTGATTTGTTCATTAGGCGTTCCCTAGTAGTTAAGCAAATTTTGTGTACCTTATTGTAAAGTGTTACCAAAAGTATTTATAAACTTCTCATCTCAACACATCGTTAATGTATTACAAAAAAAACAAAACATTATTTATGTACCTTATCTAAACAAAGATGTTTGAAATTGTGTTTATTTTTTACTTAGGTTTCTGCAAACCCTGCACATAAATTTTCTCTACAAAGAAAGCGCTTCTTCTAATCTGCATTTTGTGCAACGTGGTTCAGTTCAGACTGCCAGTAACCATTAGGACCATGAGTTCAGATTGCTTATTTAGATAGATATTATTTTGAAAGCTCGGCTCATTCCTAAGCGACTCTACCCCTGCATGGTACCAGTGCACATTCCTTTAGTCTAAAACAAGGACGAGTTTATTCCTCGTCAAACCCCTTTTCACCCATTTAATCACAGTAAAAGAGCTGATTCCAGCCAGGCTGACACAACAAGACCCTGCACACAAAGCCTGTGGACAAGAGGAGCAATAACCAGGATGGAGGACACAGTTTACTGATATTTAACTCTCAGGAGGACCAAAAAAAATAAAAAAATCACACGCTGGTGTATGTGTGTGGGTCTAAACACTTAGAAAAAGACCAAGGTAAAGTGTTGGATATACAGAAAGAGAGAACACACAAACGCTGTCTCTGAGCTGGTTTCTTTATTAAAATAAATGAATCAGGTAACTAATCCATGCCTGTTAAATGGGACTCTGATTGAAGAAATGGATGAAAAATAGTAACAAATCATTCCTAAAAGGAATGTAATGATGCTCACTTTGTCAATACATTTTCTCTTTCTCTTTGACCCATAAGGGTCATGTTCAAAATCGTGAAATGCCAAGAGGTTAGCCCAGCCAATAAACCTGCATACAAACAGTATCTGCTCCTTTTATTCATTTATTTACAGAAGTCGCCTTTACAAATTATTTTAAATGTGTGTCTTAATTGCATTATGGCTTTTTGTCTTCACCTGTTTTAATCGTACCATGTTCCATCGGTGCATTATATTTTTTATATCCGTTGATGCTTCTTCCCATATGTACATGTAAAAAAAAATGTTGCATTTTAACTGTTTCCTATCTTTTTTGTTCTATGATAAAGTAAAATAAATAAATAAATAAAATAATAAAAGAAAAAAAATATATATATAATTAGCAATGGTGAAAAATGCTCCGATTCCATCTTTTTCTGTGTGTTTAGTTTTGTTAAATGTATTTCAATCGTAATAGGTTTTTGGGGTTTTCCTTTGCTAAGTAACAACATTTATTGAGCTGTTTTAAAGTAAGTTTAATCATTTTTTTCCATTCATCAGATAGAGCATAATTGCCTAATTAGAGACCACACCTTATCCTTATCCTGCAAATAACTAAATAATTACATGTACTGCTCCATGGAAATACAAGGTACCAATAAGTTATGCAATACAAAAACATTTTAGAAACAATTAAGACTAATTGGAGAATGTGCCTTTTAAATAGTTTGACATTGCAGATAAAGCAGGTATCCAAAGAAAAGTATTTCTTTATCCATCTCACTTCATCTCGCCTTAGAAAAACTATACACGTTCTCTCTTTCTTCATTGATCGTGGCTTTAAAGTTTAAACAGCTATAGTCCCTGTGAACCCAGTGGTGTCAGGTATTGTGAAGCAAACACCGCTCAAATAAAATAAAGGCACAGAGCAATACAGCCAACTTGTGTTTTAGAGCAGACTGATCACAGCTCTGTTGTAGGACAAGAAAACATATGGGTATAGCACCACACATTTACACAAGGACAAAGATCTATTTCCCAAAAAAACAGCTCAACTGTTGCAAACATATGCAGACACATGCACACGCACCTATCTTACTCAACATAACGATTCATTCAAACACTGCTAAATGTGTTCCCTGCAGCTCAATCATCATCTGGCAATCAGCAACAACACTTAGGGCCTTATGCTTTCGACAATTGGATCTGAAGACCATGTTGCTTCTGTGGGATTTAACCATTTTCCACTGGGGAAAAAAAACAAAAAAAACACACCATGAGAGGCAAACACATTTAGATGGAAAACTGATGTGGAAACGGAATGAGTCTTGTGACTATTACTGATGTGATAAGCTGGGAACTGATGTAGCATAACGGTCTGCTCAACATGTGGCCTGTTACCAAAGCGACACGTTCATTTATCAGCATTAAAATGCACGATAACAGACAGCGGAAAATTAGTTTTTGCTGATTTGTTTGCACGTTTGGTCCTTTTCCCAACTGGCAGATTTACCTTGTGGGAAAGCCCTTATCAAAATGTCCGATGTCGCATCTCCAGTCACTGTTGACACAATTATGTTGTACAAAGAGCCAAACAATGTGCGAAGACAAGCTGTAAAAGAGGTTTGCTACTGCAATTAGAAACTTGTGTCTACAGGAAACAATGAACATTAAAGAATGCTGATTATTTTGGGGGAAATTTTGTTTGAGAATGCTTCCTTGCAGTTTAACTAGAGACGCACTCGCTCTTGAGCAAGACGGACGCTTTTTCTTCAATCTCCCGTCTCCCTCTTGCCTTTTTTTTTTTTGCTCTCTGTCCTGAGTATTAGAGCTTCTATTTACACATCTTTCGAAACGTAAAGTACTGACTTGGATCTGGTCAGGTGGACTCTCAATGCAATTGATAAAAAATTTTCAACCAAGCGACAGGGTCCTGGAGAACCCTCATGCACCGCTGAGACGCATGCGGCAGGGTAAATCATGGATAAGTTGATGTGCCTTTCTGTATTGTGTCAGGAGGATGCCGAAGACTTATATCATTGGATTTATGATAGCAGGGTTTCTGCTTTTTGTCACCATCGGACACCTATGTTATCGGCTATTAAAAAAGGACGGCGGCAGCAGTTCTGGCCATGGCAAAGCTGCCGACCTTATCTGAAGGTTTGGTACGTGCTTCGAGCAGACTCAACTGATTACGAGCTAAACCATAAGATGGAAGCGATTTATGAGAATAGTAGGCCACTTGTGGCTTGTGGGACTCACCAGCATGTTGGGGTTGACCTTAGAGGGAGCTAATAAGCACGGACCAGTGGAATGCCCACAAATCTGGCCATTTTGGATCATCGAGAGTACCAGCAGAACTCAAGAATGACGAGAAACAACAGTCTGCCTAAAAAAAAAAATTAACTGTGGCTTATCTGAATCAGACTCCTCCGTTAGGCCATGAAGCAGACCAACTTATCAAATTTCTCCTGGGATATGAGTAAACTAAGAAGGCTCTGTTCTACCCCCAAGAACTTCTGTGAACACTTATCAGAGCCCTACCGTCTGAAACCGACATCATATCAGGACTATGGTGCTATCTGGAAGTGCTTCATGGACAAATCTCCCCGTCTTGTCGTCAATACATATGTAATGTCTATAAATGTGCTTGCTGGTAGAGTTTTTTGTTGTCTTAAATCGTGTCCTGACAAGCACAAGGTGTGAAGAGATCTTTTTTGTAATACCACTCTCCTATCCTCATGGTCTTTCCCCTTTTTCCGTCTAAAGAATAAGGGCCGCGCTCTCAGGAGCAGCAGCAACGTGCACTCCGCCCATCTTTCGGACGACTGTACAAACATTATCTCACTGTACTTCGGTGCAATGATAATAAAGCTTACTCTGATTCTGACCATCATGACACACTGCCTTCAAGTTTAGACTGCATTTGATTTACAAGCCAAACAACGTGGGGCACGAACATGTTTTGTTTGTCGAGTTGAGTTGAGAGTTTAAAAGAAAATATTTTGCACAAGCACAAGTATAATAATATCCTAAAATA